CCAAGAGCAGCGGCGGCGGCGGCGGCGTCCGGAGCGAGCGCGGCGCGCGCCAGGCGCCCCGGGCAGGAGGCGGCGGCGGCGGCCCAGCGCCAGGACGACGCCGCGCAGCGCCGGACGCGGACCACTTTCATGCTGATTCCCCCGGACCCGGGCAGAGCTCCGGCCACTCCGCGGGCCGCCGGCCTCCGCCCCGGCCTGCCTGGCTCCCAGGGCGCACCCGCGCCCGGCGCCTCCGCTCTCCCAATCCTCCTGATTTCGATGGCTTTCCTGAATGGCTGACTGTGGGCTGCCCTGGACTTGGCCCCCGGACAGTCGCCTCTCCTTCTCCTCTTCTTCCTCCTCCTCCTCCTCTTCCTCCTCCTCCTTCTCCTCCTCCAACTCCTCGGCTGCACACTAGATCTGAGAGCGAGAGAGTGAACGAGAGAGGGAGAGAGGGAGGGAGAGTGAGAGCGAGCGAGATCTTTGGAGAGATTTTTTTTTTTTTTTTTTGCCTCCTACTTCTGTCTTGAAGCCAGACAATCGACTTGCAGCTCTCCCTCCCCTCCCTCTCTCCACATTCTGCTCCCACTCGCTCTCCCCTGTCCCCTTGCCCTCCCCTCTTGACGGAAAGCCCCCCGAAACCAACAAAGCTGAGCCGAGGGAAACAAACAAAACAAACACAACCGGGCCAGACAAGCAATCGACAAAACTTTGCAAAAGCAAAAAAAAAAAAAAAAAAAAAGAAAGAAAAGAAAAACAACAACAACAACAAAACAAAAAACAAAAAAGGAAAAACTGACCAACCTCAATCAACTAGCCCTGAGCCACCCGGGGCGCCCTCCCGCGCCCTCTCGCACCCTCGCACACACAAAAGGCGGCGCGCCGGAGCCCGAGACCCGGGAGCCGCCGCCACCCCGCCGCCGCCCGCAGCCAGGGGAGCAGAAGTCCGGACGCGGTTCCCATAGATATGGCAATGGTAGTCAGCACGTGGCGCGACCCCCAGGACGAGGTGCCCGGCTCTCAAGGCAGCCAGGCCTCGCAGGCGCCGCCCGTGCCGGGCCCGCCGCCTGGCGCCCCGCACACGCCACAGACGCCGGGCCAAGGGGGCCCGGCCAGCACGCCGGCCCAGACAGCGGCTGGCGGCCAGGGCGGCCCCGGCGGCCCGGGCAGCGACAAGCAACAGCAGCAGCAGCACATCGAGTGCGTGGTGTGCGGGGACAAGTCGAGCGGCAAGCACTACGGCCAGTTCACGTGCGAGGGCTGCAAGAGCTTCTTCAAGCGCAGCGTGCGGAGGAACCTGAGCTACACGTGCCGCGCCAACCGGAACTGTCCCATCGACCAGCACCACCGCAACCAGTGCCAGTACTGCCGCCTCAAAAAGTGCCTCAAAGTGGGCATGAGACGGGAAGGTATCGGCCTCTCATTTCTTCCCCCCTCCGCCCGCGGTCCCGGGGCCCTGGGTGCCTTTGGCTAGCCTGTTCTGGGTAAGGACACGGAAGCCCCGAGCCCTCCGCGTTGCAGTCGGAGGGGCTTCGGTTCCCGGAGCTGGGGGTCCGCAGCCCGGCACGGCCACCCCTACCCCACCCCCAGGCAGCAGGCTCTAGCAGGCTTTTCTCCTTCGCTCTGCCCTCGAGCTGCTTTTCCTTTCTTTTGCATTGATTGAGAGTTCATTCGAGTTCACCTTTCTGCAAGGGATGGATTGTTGTTTGTTGTTTTAAAGTCCTCTCTCTCTCTCTCTTTCTCTCTTTCCTTGTTTTTCCTGCATGTTCAACATATGTCCCTCCTCCTTACCCCTCTCCCCAACCCCCACCTTAAAAAAAAAAAAAAAAAACAACCTGAGATTGTACTTTTGTACAGGAGGTTCAAATTACAAATGGCAATTTTATGCACTTCGCCGTATTAACGCTGCCGCCTGGGCAGAGCTCATGTGACCCCTCCGTGGATTAACATTCTGCTTAAAAAAAGAAAATACCTCTTGTTTTCTTTTTATCCTTTCACTTTTGAAACCAAGAGAGCCCTATAGGGAGTAGGAAATTGTGGGCAAGGGGCCTTTGGGCCGCTGCTTTTGCTTTGCGCCAGTTGGGTCTTTGTGATAAAAAATTCGCCCAGAGCCGGCAACGGTGCTCTACCAATGGCGCGCTGCGCGCCGGGCGCGGGCTCCGGCTCGAGGCGAGCCACTGCCGGCCTTTCTTTGTGTTTCTGCGAGAGCGACTCTGCCGGTCCAGAGTCAGATAACAGCGGGAGCCTGAGCCTGGCTTGCTTTCCTCGGCCGTCACGGGCCTTCTCCGGGCTCCGCCAGCGCCCGCCGCCTGCCCCCTGCCTCTCTCCGGCTTCCTCTAGTCTGTGCCGGCCTCTCTCTCTTTCACTCTCCGCCCTCCCTCTCCCTTGTCTCTCCTCTTCGGAGCTCGCGGATCAGGCAAAGAGGCTAGCCCCTGCCGCTGTCTGTCGCCGGGGTTTCCCTCCTGGACTGGGGTTGAGGTTACCAGGTTCGGGGACGGTCGTTCGGGGGTGGCCACAGGCCGTCTGGGTAAACCTTGATGTCTTGTGCAAAAGCGTCTCACCCCCCCTCCCCTACGCTCCCCTCCAGTCCCTTCGCCAATCAATAAGAAATATCAGCTGTTTAACAGGTTTTTTTTTAAAGGGTGCCCCCAGAATGCTACATTCCGCTAAGAGCTCCGGGGACCCCCCCCCCCATGCAAAGTGACCAATGCTGGGTCCTAGGCAGACTAACCCCAGATGGGCCTCTCAGGCAAGTGTGGAGCTCTGGCGGTCAGAGCTGGCCTGGGAGGTGATTTGTGAGCGCTGGTTGCCGGGCGCCTGGCAAAGACTCCTGGGTCTGACTTGTAGCAGGCCTGTCTGTTTCTTGGCGCTGTTCTGGGGCCTGGGACAGGTTGGGGTCAGGTAGAAGGATGAGGGAGCAAGGCTGATCATTAACTGTGGAGTGTCTTCTTTCCTCCCCGCAGCTGTTCAGAGGGGCAGGATGCCGCCCACTCAGCCTACCCACGGGCAGTTTGCGCTGACCAACGGGGACCCCCTCAACTGCCACTCGTACCTGTCCGGATATATTTCTCTGCTGCTGCGCGCGGAGCCCTACCCCACGTCGCGCTTTGGCAGCCAGTGCATGCAGCCCAACAACATCATGGGCATCGAAAACATTTGCGAACTGGCCGCACGGATGCTCTTCAGCGCCGTCGAGTGGGCCCGGAACATCCCCTTCTTCCCTGACCTGCAGATCACGGACCAGGTGGCCCTCCTCCGCCTCACCTGGAGCGAGCTGTTCGTGTTGAATGCGGCGCAGTGCTCCATGCCCCTCCATGTCGCCCCGCTCCTTGCCGCTGCTGGCCTGCACGCTTCCCCCATGTCAGCCGACCGGGTGGTCGCCTTTATGGACCACATACGGATCTTCCAAGAGCAAGTGGAGAAGCTCAAGGCACTGCACGTCGACTCTGCCGAGTACAGCTGCCTCAAGGCCATAGTCTTGTTCACCTCAGGTAAGAAGGAGACCTGTTCTCAGGTACCCAAGAACTCCCAGGACAGAGTTAGGGCCTGGAAAAACGGCCAGCCCCACTTCCCCCTTAAAAGGCCCAGCTGCAGGGTGCATTTTAAAGCGGGAACTTGAAATAACTGGTGGCTTGTCCTGGCACGCATAAGGATGCTCCACACACTGACTCCCAGAGGGGCCTTGGGCCCTCTCAGGCCCCTTCCTCTCCTGCAGTAGACAACCTGGAACGCACTTTCTTGCTTACTCCCCAAGCTCAGGCCCTCTGGGCCTAGTTGGCCCCCAGGGAATCTCCTCAAGCTCTGGGCATTTTTTTTTTCTTGGCACTCAGGCTGGGCCCTCGAGGAGATGCCCCTGGGCACATTGCAGCCCTGGCATCATCTCTGTAGAAGAAAGTTTGTCCCTGCAGGGGGAAAGTTTGCCTGTGAACTCAGTAGGAGCTGGGGCTCCAGGCAACTTCAACCTGAGAGCAGCACTTTTCAAAATCACATTCTCATTAAAATAATGCAGACTGCCAGGAGAAGGGGGGGGGTGCTGTCAGAATAGGGCAGAAAGGGCTGAAGGACTACCATAATTCCCGAATGTCTGCAGGGGACTGAAGGCTAGCCTCTGGCTTCTCCTGTCCAGGCGAACACTTAAGGCAATTTTCAAGCATCCAAAAGTGTGTGCCAACTTGCACTGGATATGAATGTTGCTGGAGATTAAAAAAAAAAAAAAAAAAAAAAAAAAAAAACCATCATTGACTGCATTAGGAAATCTAATTAGTTTGCGTGTAGTTTAACCTGTGTGAGTAATAGATCTGATATTCATTAACTCTTGAGGCCAAATGATTTTTGAAAGTGTCTGGCTTTCCATTTCGGGCCACACCTGAGCCTTTTGGCTGCCTCCAGGCTCAGTTCAGCCCTAGCCAAGGTGGGTGGAAATTACCCCCACCCTTCACATTCTTGTACTGAGTTCTCAGCTGATTCCTTTGTCATGGTTGAGAAGGAAAAGGGGTTCCTGACTAAGAATAACAAACATGTGGACATTGGAAGGGCCTGGAACCTACTCACCCACTCACCCAAGCTCTTTAACCTAACAGGCAGAAAGCTAGAAGAGACTGTGAGTCTATGGGACAAACCAATAGAGCCACAGTTTCTTCTTTGTTGTTTAAAGAAGTGTGGGAACCAAATCATTAGCTGAGTCTACTACAGACTCAATCTGCTGTCTTGTATTAGTTACTGTTTTTCACACAGGGACCACCCTCCCCAGGCACCCCAAACCCTGCCTTCCAAAGTCCTTAGATAATCAATCAGAGGGCAGCACTCTGGCCAGGCCAGAGCTCTATGCAGAGGGTTTATTCTTCTCATGAGCCTGTCATAGCTAGAGTGTTTGCCTGACACCAACATAGTGGCAGGCTAGTCCTGTCCCATAGCCACCTTTACCCCATTCTCACAACCTGACACTCAGTCCATGTTCTCAGATGATGGAGGTGGCTGCTAATTTCTTGATATCACTGTTAGTTCTCTGCCTTTTTTCGTTGGTCTTTCAAGGAAAAAAATGCCTGGTACTATCGAAACATTTTAATTTATTACTGTTTGCAAGATATGGAGGCCTGTATAGAGAATGCAGATGGCCTCAGAGAGAGATAAAGGTCCCTGTTTTCTGATTCACAGGGAGACACACAGGACCAATGAGGAGGAAAGGAATCCTAGACAAACAGATCTTTTCATTCCTGACCATAGACACCTAGGCATTCTGTAGACACATAAAGTCCTGGACACGGTGGAGGAGGTTGCATGTGTGTTCTGGTGGTGGGGGTGGAGGTGGTAGTGACTGTTTTTGAATATCTGTTTTAATGATTCACAATATGCCTGTGTTAACCCCAGTCTTGTCTGGGGAGCCCTGAAAGGTCAGGTCACAACCTGAACCGTCTTCACCAAGAAGCCTCTCATTTCAAAGGCACTTATTGTAATTTCACGTATCAGAAAAAAGAAAAGTGTTTTCCTGAAGATAACAGGGAGGGGGGGTGATTCTTGGAGAGACCTGGGCTTAAAAAAAAATAAAGGGGGGGGGGAGAAAAGGGAAAGAAAAGAAAAGAAAAGGAGGGGAAAGAAACAGCTCAAATGAACAGAGAGATCACAGTTTGCATGGCTGCCCTTCAATAGGCTAAACTGACAAGATCAGTTTTAAAGGGCCACTTAAATCAGTTTCAAAGACTGGAGAAAAATGAGTTGCCCTCTTTGGGGAGAATCGGAGGCAGGGTCTTGGACGCCATTACTGAAAGCTGGGCCAGGTTGTCACCACCCCCCCCATCTCCATACACACTATATAATAAGCCAAATTCGGAGAAGGGGGGGCAAGCGTTGGTGGCTTTAGTTTTATCTGTCTGTCTGCCTGCCTGCCTGTGCACTTTGCACCAATGCACTTTTTCTTGGGCCTCCAAGTGACCCAGCCTGAAGACTAGGCAATGAAAGCCTGTAGCACCCAAGCGTGTTTTATTTTAAAGTAAACACTCCAGGACCATCTCAAGCTTTGTCGCCTCCCTCCTCCCCCTTGAAGTTTTCAGTGTATAGGCATTTCCAACTCTGGACGGGGCAGTTTGACAGAGAACTGTGGGCACACCTCAGGTGACCCCTCTCAAACCTCTTAATCTGATGAATTCTCTCTCCCTCTTTCCCCATTTCTTTTTAACTTTCTTCCAGATGCCTGTGGTCTGTCTGATGTAGCCCACGTGGAAAGCTTGCAGGAAAAGTCCCAGTGCGCTTTGGAAGAGTACGTTAGAAGCCAGTACCCCAATCAGCCAACACGGTTCGGGAAGCTCTTGCTTCGCCTTCCTTCCCTCCGCACGGTCTCCTCCTCAGTCATAGAGCAATTGTTTTTCGTCCGTTTGGTAGGTAAAACCCCCATCGAAACCCTCATCCGGGATATGTTACTGTCCGGCAGCAGTTTTAACTGGCCGTATATGGCAATTCAATAAATAAATCAATCAAAATAAGAAGGGGGAGTGAAACAGAGAAAGAAAAGGCAAAAGACTGGTTTTGTTTGCTTAATTTCCTTCTGTTAAGAAAGGATGTTACAAGTTTGCTAAAAGAAGAGAGGGGAAGAATTTAATGGACTGTGAATTTCAAAAAAAAGAGAGAGAGACTGTCAAATGAACTTTTACAGAATGCATTAAAAAAAAAAAAGAAAGAAATCAACTCCTGTGTTGAGCAGAACAACTTGCTACTTATCATTTTTGTATAAAAAGGAAATTAGTCTTTTTTCTTTTTGGTAAATTTTTGAAAAATATTGCTAAAAGTGCATCTAAGGAGATTGGGAGAAAATTAGCAGAATGGACAAAGTAAGTCTTTTTTTTTTTTTCCAAATTATTAATTGTCCTGTGTCTATGTACCTCTAGCTGTTTTTTTTTTTTTTTTTTTTTTTTTTTTTTTTTTTTTTTTTTTTTTACTTTTCTGGTTCCAAACCAGTTTATTCTGTGGTTCTATAATAAGTTTTGATATAATCTTGGCTTCTTAAAAACTGTGTATCATTAAAATATATGTTCTGCAAGAATTAAAACTGAGTCCATGAAGATATCCTAGGAAGACATAAAACTTTAAAAGGCAACTCAGAGATGATGGAAATGCACTTACAAATGGTGGCCAAATTTTTTAGGTGAAGTTGAGCACTCTAATTAGCAAGCTGGAGGAATCACATCACCACCTAGCTCCCCCTTCCCCCACCCCATACCATGGCAAACCTAGCTTTTTAAAAATATTTTAAGAAAGAGAAGGAACTGTGGAATTTATTGGCAGCCAAGGAATGTGTCCAAGACACAAGCTGAGGTTTTGAATAAAAAGTGAACTTTTGTAATTTGAATTGGGTTCCCCCCCCTTAGTTCTTGAATTGTTATGAATCCTATATCTGTTTGTATATTTGCAAGCCCTTTGTATTATAATTGTTGATATTTCCCCTTTTTAAAAAATTACCATTGAAATCAGCATGACAAAATAACACTGTTGGCACTTATAGGTAACGTGATTGATTCAGTATCTTAGAGTTTACAGTTTGTGTTTTTAAAAAACTGAAGGTTTTTTTTTTAAGTGCAACATTTCTGTATACTGTAAAAGTTATAATAACTGAACTGTTTGGTCGAGTCTTTGTGTGTTATATTCCAAGGAAAATTGAAAGTATTCAGAAATTAAAATATTATTTGATATCTGAAACCTGCTTGGCTGTCCCCACTCACTGTCTTTCCATCGAGTTGAGCCCCTGTGAGTTCTCACTGAGCCAGCGGGGGCCCCATTTGTTTACTCCCCTCAATCAGTTTGTTCAAAGGTAGACTAGAGTATTTGCCTGTTTAATTTGGGTGTGTGCATGGGGGGGAGCTGAAGTTAATGGTTTATCTATGGTTTAGGAAGTGCCACACTGATATAGTAAGCTACCCCCATTCACCTAATCCTCCTTTTAATTAAAAATGGATTTTCCAGGAAAAAAAAAAAAAAGGCCCTTATATTTGTCACACTTAAGTGCCTGCTTAGGGAAGGTATTGTGAAAAGTATTAGAAACCTTGAGATCAGTATCTATTTTATGATCAGAAAAAAAAATGCTCTTTTGTACATTTCTGACAGTTATGCAGAGGACTGTTCAAGCAAGCCAATCACAGCACTGTAAAAAAACAGGGCAGTTGTTTGCAATGAGTTTTTCCTTAAGTAAGTGTGTGTTTTGTTTTGTTTTGTTTTTTAAAGATATTTCGAGGTTCTCATCTAGCGTGGCTGTTGAGAGGATTTTTAATACAGTGATGTAGCTGCTAGCGATAAAGGGTCTGTTTTTTTCATGTATATATGATAACTTGCAGTTGGCCTGCCTTTCCCCTCCCCCTCCCTCTTCAGTCTGTGAGAGCATGACCACAGGTCAAGGGAATCTTTTCCATTGGAGCTATGTACATAAAAACCCATGGACATTTGGACATTTCAGATTGCATACATACAATCTGCTCTTGGGATCCTTCGTTCTCAGAAACTTTTTTTTTTTTTTTTTTTTTTAAGAAAAAGAATAAAGAGAACTTTACAGGGTGTGCTGATTTGGGAAGTCAACTATTTGTTTCTGTCCCTTATTCTCTTCCTGGTTTGGAGAAAGCTCAGTGCTGGAAACTTGCAATTTGTTCTTACTTGGACTTTCCAAGCTGCCCTCCCTGACGATACTTTTACCATGTTGTGGTTTAATCTTAAAATGAGGGAGGGGGCTGATGACAGAGGTGAAAGTAAAGGGATCATTTTGCCAAGTGCATTAAACTTTGATGCTGTTCTGGTTCATACATGCAGACCTGAAAACTCTGCCTGATTTAGGCAGAGATCTCCATCTGATCCTCAGCTTCTCTCTGTAGATATATAGATATATATATATATGAATATGAATATAAGTATGTTTTACAGCACAGCATCTGACCTGTAGATGGAGGTTTTATTGGTTGTTTATTTTCCCCTCTTGCAAGTGCTATCCATGTGAGTGTGTGAAGTTTCTCTACTAGTAAAACATAGGCCCTTTTTCTTGTTTGTTTTGTGTTAGCTTATTGTAAACAGCCATTTGTTGTAAATTATTATTGGCATTAAATTATAATTTATGATTTTCAAAGCAAAAGATATTCCCTGTTTTATTATGCTTTAAAGTATGTGTTCTAGGCGTTGAAAAAACCTCTCTCTTACTCTCTCTAAGTTTCAGCGATGAGCTTGGGGGTCTTCCAGGCAGAGAAAAATAGGACTCAAATTTTTTCAACGGGTTAAAATAAAACCCCTTGTATACATTTAGAGTGGCCGGAGGAGGATCTGTTTAGAGTCTTGAGTTCGGTTTAAGTTTATTGCATTTAAAGAAAGTTTTTCTTTTCACGCTGAGTTAGAACAAAAGATCTTTGCTGCGACTGAATTAGACAAAAGACGAGGGCTGGGACCCAGCGAGTGCGTTCGGTGTGAAATTGACGAGATCTTTAAAAAAAAAAAAAAAGCTGCTAAACATGGCGACTCTTTCCCTTTAAGTGTCTCTTTTTCCTTGCTGTTTTTTTTTTCCTCCCTCCTCCATCTGATCTGAGCTCGCTTTATTTCTTTTCCCAACCCCACTCCCCCTCCTCCTGGCGCTCGGTAGTGTGAGAGAACCCAGTTAGACGCGAAAAGCAACAATGGTCCGACGAGAGAGAGGGGCGATCGCTCCTTCTTGCCACTTTCAAACAGACCTGGGGGAAGATTGAGCTTCGGGGGAGGAGGGGAGGGGACGCTCCTAGCCGGTTCGCTCGGCTCGCGGTCGCCCTGCCTCGGCCTTTCCCGTAGAGCTTTGGCCCGGGCGGAGGGGGAGGGGGCCACGTGCGGGGAGGGGTGTGGGGGGCGGCAGGGCTTGCAGCTCAAAGTTAGCGGGCGACATCCGGGGCTGGGTCCGCGGCGGCGGCCCGGGTAGCCTCGGCCCAGGCGGCGGGGACGGGTCGGGAGTTGGCAGCGGCTGCGGGGAAGTGCCTGCCCCCCAGCCCCCGCCCCCACCGCCTGGGCCGCGGCGTTCCGCCGGAGCCCGGGAAAGTCCGGGGTGCGGGGAGCGCCCAGCTGCTCTCCGGGGACGTGCACCGAGCCGCGGCGGGCGGGGGGCGGGGGCGGGGGGCGGTCAGGGGGAGCCCGAGCGTGTGAAAACTCTGCCTGGGAGCTCGCTTTTGACTTGGTCCTATGAGCTGAGCCAACATGGCGTCTCCCATTGCACCGCGAGCGCCGGCTGCCAGGCACCGCACGGCCGAGTAATAGAAAACACATTGGGTTACCAAAAAGAAGGAAGAAAAAAAAAGGGGGGGGGGAGCAGGGGAAGGACTAAAGGCCATTCGGTCTGCAGGCAGAAATCTCTCTTTTAAACTCCGGCTGGCAAGTGAGAGCAGCCCTTGATTATTGTGTAATTAAAGCAATAGGGTTTGCAGGGGAAACGTTAGTATCTCAGGACCCTAACCCTTCTTTATGTGATGCCCAACTCATATGTTCAGGACATTTGATTTCATGCGCCCCCTCTTCCCAGAACCAAACGAGAAGAATTTAAAAAATCGGTGTCCACAGAGGATCTTAAGTGTTTGAATGGTATGGGGGGGTGGGGGAGGGGGAGAAGCCAGTATTTACAGACCTGGGTCAGTTTCCCCGCGCTCATTAAAGCGGAGGCTGCGCTGGGCTTGGAGCTGGCCTGGGACCCGCTAGGGAGGGGGCAGAGCTGCGAACCTCGCCACAAGTTGGTACAACTTGCTGCTTGCTCGTCGGGGTTGTGGGGAGAGGTAGCTTTGGTGGAGGTTAGATAGGGCTGTGACTGGAGAAGAGAACTGAGAAGGGGGCCTAGGCCTGCTTCCAGGAGGGTGGTCGCAGGACCAGTTCTGTGAGAGCCCCCGTGGACCGCGTGCCCGGCTGGAGCGCTTCTTCGGAAAGATCTCTCTTTCTCTAGTAGGTCTGAGGACAGACGAGGACTGCCAGGGGGACAGACTGACCTCCCAGAAGGTCTTCCCAGGCCTCCTCGGCGCTGGTTCCGTGGGGGGGGAAATTGTCTTCTCTGTCCAGTTCCAAACCTAGCGTGGGCCTGCGGAACCCTATCAACCACCTGGGAGGGAAGTGAGGTGCTCTGAATTCCAGGCCCCGTCAAGATTTATTGAAGCTGGGTTTTAAAAAATGTGCTTCAGATGATTTTTCCCATTTTCTCAGATTTCAAAGGCTCCCTGCAGTGAGGCTGCCTAATTAATGGTGAAATTCAACTAAATCTAATTATGCAGTAATTTTAAAGCAGTTAGTGCTGGGCGTTGGTTTGTAATAGGACCCCGGGTTTTTAAAGTTTGTTGACTGTATTGGTTTAGGGGAAAGCTATCTTTTATATGGTAAAGAAAGATGGGGAAGAGGTTTCCTGCTTGGAAGGGGAGGACTAAGGACTGTATGCCATCCCATCTTCATCCCTAAGACCTTTTCAGTCTCCTTTCTCTCTTCTCTTGTTTTCTCTTTCATGCTCCAGCTAAAAAGCTGAGTGAGGTGTTAATCCATCAAGCAGCCCCCATTTCCTGATGAAACAGGAAAGGGAGAATCTTTCCTTTGGAGACACAAAGGGCCAGACTGGCATGGGTCCTCTTGGATGCATCCGTAAAGACTTGAAAACCGGGAAGGGTCTCCCCTCCTTTAATCCAGAACAGATTTCCTCCCCAGCATCTATTGTCATGGAGGCGCAAAGCTGACTCTTGGAGTTATAAATCTTATCGTCCTTCTGATAACACACTTGTAATAAGTTAGCGTCCTATTCGACGCGAATTGTAAAACTGCCTCATTTAATACGGCATCTGTGCCATTAAAACTTTTCCCCCTTGCCTGGTGACTTGCTGATCGGGCCTGGGACTAGCGAGGAGGTCCCATACTACTGGGCCTCTGGGTTGGGCAGAAGAAAACGTGTGAGAGATGGGCTGCCTGGATCTCATCTCTGGATCTTAGGCCAGGATGAGAGACCCCCAAAGGGCTTGAGGGGGTGGTGTCCCTCTCTCCAACCCCCACCTCAGTGGCCCCTGAAAATGACATTCCTTGAAAGAAACATGCTTGTCATTAGCTAAGCAAACACATGTGCTTTCGGACTTGGGCCTTCGTTAATTAGCTGAACAAAGGGCCGTTTTGCCTTTTACCTTTTTCTGGGAAGAGTGTGTTATTTCAGGAGTATCACGGGCTCTCCTCTTTTCAATTGCAGCCACGACGTTAATTTTATTGGGATTACTGATGGGAAATGAGGTGGCGCAGGCTTCCGAGAGGAAAAGCTTGATCATTACTCCCTTTGGAACTATATTTTTCCACCCAACCTCCTGCTCGTGAGGAGGGGGTGGGGGCGAACTGCACAGCAAGTTCGGAGCAATTGGAATCAGGCTCGCCGTACGTTGATCTCGGGTGACAGAGCGTGTGTTGAAGCTGAACTCTATAATTTGCGCTTCTGTTCCTTTATTAGGCCTGGACAACGAACTAATGAGCTTTGGCCCAGCACAATGTCACTTGTATTTATTTTCTTATGGCAACTTTGAGATAGCGGAAGTGTTCCTTACCCAGGAGCCAGGGAAGGCCGAGAGTTCGTCCGCTGCTATCCGGGATGGGGTCGGGCGGCTGTGTCCCCAGGGAGTGAGGACAAGCTGAGAGCCAACGTCAGGCTGTCCGAGTAGAGGCATTGAGCCCTAAGGGGGAGGCCTTTGGGGGTTCTCTGGAAAGCG